GACTGGACGCGAGGTCGTGCTGGTGAAAGTGTGTAGATATGTGAGATCGTATGCGCGTGTGCATACATTTGCAGATATGCCGCGTTGTACTGTACATGTGCATTCTATGTGTACATATACATTTATAAAAACATGAAAATACATATTCTATAAATATATATGTACAATTATTCATAATAATATGTGTGCCTAAATGTATACATATTTATGAATGTTTAGCGAGGTTGTATGCATAGCTATGCATTTACAAATGCATAATATAGAAGGAATGAAGAAGTAAGACTAGCGATTCTTTACTGGCCGTACTGAGCGCGTACTGACTGCACTGGCATTGTGAATGTGAGCACTGATAGTGTAAATCTCACACGTCTCTCTCACTCACCAGTGGGGCAGTTATCATAAGTCAAAGGAATAGTGCAATGCAAATTTTTTTTTTTTTTTTTTTGTGCGTGTATTTATTCAACTGCCCATCAGGAGACCGCGGTTATCCACTAAAGACATGGCTGTTAACCCCCCTCACCAACCCACAAACTGACCGAGAGCGCAGATACAATGATGCACATTCTCGCACTCTGTCAGTGGTAGAGCGGGCGATTGGGCAGCTGAAATGTCGCTGGCGCTGCCTTGACAGGACCGGGGGAATGCTGTTATACCGCCCTGACAAGGTGTGCCACATCGTGCTGGCCTGTGGTGTGCTGCACAATGTCGCTCACAGGCACGGCATACCACTTGGTGAGGTGGTGGCACCGCCAGATGACCCCGACCCAGGACCAGTGTATGTGCAGCCCAACCAACAAGCCATTCAGGCCCGTCAACATGTGATTGCGACAATATAAATGGTAATCAGAGACCAAGTTTATTTTTTGACCAATTCCTTTAATGAGTGGCTTATGTCTGTGAGTGCGTCAGTGATATTTTTCAGGTGACTGTTAATTTCTCCGATGGCCCTAACGATTTGCTGTTGTGACTCCAGAACAGCATGCGTCAAGACACGGCCAGATGGACGGGCCTCAGCACTGGGGGGAACACTGAAAACGCTGGAGACGCTGGACATACTGGGCCCTGGCTGCTCAGGAGGGGCAGACTCCGAGTGCGTGCCAGTGGACGTTCCTGCTGTTGCACCATATAAGTCCAAATAAACACAGGCACATGTTAACTGTGATTTGAGTCTGTTCCTTATCAATGGGTACACGCATTTGCTATAAATGCCATGGATATGTAAAATCTCTGGTGTAGGCTACTTTTGGTAAGCTATATTGCATGCATTTGAAAATTAAATGCGGTCTGGTAAGCTATGTGTACCAAAGTTAAGCAAATAAATGAGAAATTAGTTACCTTCGTGGCAGTCCTGTAAATCCGAGTCTCCCACCGCAACGGATACTACTCCGGAGAGTAAAGTGTCGCCCACAATAGAGGCAACTCTCTGCTCAAAGGGTGTAAGTTCATCGACCCCTGTACCACTGCCTGTTCTGCCCACACTTTGTCGGTGCGCAGCAGTTCTCCGCTTAACTTCCACCTTTATATCAGACCATTTCTTTTTAAGCTCATTTACAGTGCGATTTTCCGATCCCACCGCGTTGACGGCATCAGCCAAACTGTCCCACTCATTTTTTTTTCTTTTGTTATTAATTCCAGAGGACAAAGTTCCAAATAAAATATTTTTTCTCGTTTCTACCTCTGATAGTAACACCTCCAATTCACTTTCAGTAAAGTTTCGTTTCTTGCTGCTTGTTTTTGACATTTTCTTTCTGCTTGCTTTTGCCAAAGTGGACTCATTACCACATAAAAATTTATTTAATTGAGGGAGGAGACAGGGCGGGGTGTTGTGCTCGTGCATGTGCGCTCAATTTCACGTTAATTGGGATGTACAAAGAGAATATGCTTGGGATCCTGCGTACGCAGAGATTCATACATCTGATTTTTTTTGTGCGTACGCACCTTTACAGCTTTGTCCGTACTCAATGTTTTAGTATGAATTCAACGCAAGTCTTTGTACATGAGGCCCCAGGTCTCTCTGGAAGAACGGATTATCTCAATGAGACTGTCCTGGCTAAATAAAGGAAATAAATTGTCTCATGACATGAATTCTTTTGACAAAATTCATGAAATATAATCACATCTGGCAACAGACAACACATGCCAATTTCTGAGATTAATACCATGCTTTTATCATTGAGTTTATTGAGAAATATTTATTCTCAGAAAACACTGTAACACTTTCCAATAAGGTCTCACGTGTTAACATTGGCTAATGCATTAACTAACCAGAAATAACAGTGAGGAATATATTTTTACAGCATTTTATTAACCTTTGTCAATGTTAGTTAATACAAATGTTCATTAGTTCATGATGCATTAGCAACTTTTTATTTAATTGAGCATTTTTTTTAGATTTACATTAACTATAATTAATAAATGCTGTCTGTGTTGTTGTTAGGGGAGTGCGGGGCACAAAGTAATGCGGGGTTAGTTGTAACACACATGGTTTGAATATTTCCACACATGCTAGCATAACAAATTTTACAGTATTCATTAGCTACCATATCAACATTATATAGAAAAATGTGTGCCAAAATTCAAAAATCTTTTGAAGATATCAATGAACATTTATTTTACTATAGTAAAATTACAATTCTGGCTTAAGTACATTTTTCATCTCTGTTTTTATTCATCATTTAAAAATCTGCTATTATTTGAATTTCCAATCTGTTATTTATCAGTTTAAATAGTTTTTTTTTAATGCTTCACTAACTAGCAGAAGACAGCAACTGGTTTTAAACTCCAGTTGCGCAGATGGGGCACGTTGTAACACTGTGTTACATAATAAATTAATATAATTTACATGATTTACTTTAATTAATTTGAATGAGAAACAATGAGAGTATAATAAAGACTGACAGTCAATGTTTAATGTTTAGAAATCTGTGCTGTGATGCGGTCGGAAACCAGATTGAAAATTGTCCAGGTATCCATTTGAGTTTAAGTAGTTGTTCAGCTGATTAAAGACTACCTTTTCAATAATCTTGCCTATAAAAGGAAGATTTGATATTGGTCTATATTTGCTCAATATGGTGTTATCATGATTGCTGTTTTTCAGGTGGGGTTTAACAACTGCAGTTTGCAGGGAGTTTGGAAAAGTCCCAGAAAGAAGTGAGGCGTTTACCACTTCTAAGAGATCTGCTTCTAAACAGTTAACCCTCTAAGCACCAAAGTCGCAAAATTGTGACAAGGCGTCATACTTAATAAAATAGACCGTAGTTCCTAATATGGTGTAATATCTCATTTGTATTGCTGTGAGATTTGTGAGAGAAAATCGCCAAATGGCTAATAAAAAGTTGTACCGTGAGGATGTGTTGCAAATGTTATTCGCTGATTCTAACTCTGAAGGGGAATATTTGCCTTTTGAAAATGACGATCGGTCGTCTAATAATCGCGCTTCTCCTGGTACATCTTTAAAGTAGGCTACTGTTCACATGTGTTTTACTACTATATAGTATAGTAATATAGTAATAATTTAGTACTTTCTCCTATTTTATTGTTGGTTTCTTCTTTTCTGATCATTTGGAATGAGGATAAAAAGACAAAAAAAAACAAACAAAAAAAACATGCAAATAAGTTCAAACATCCATTCAGTATCTATTATTTCCTGAATATTACACATCCGTTTTACTACTATATAGTATAGTAATATAGTAATAATTTAGTACTGTCTCCTGTTTTATTGTTGGTTTCCTCTTTTCTGATCATTTGGAATGTTGATAAAAAGACAAACAAACAAACAAAAAACATGCAAATAAGTTCAAACATCAATTCAATATCTACTATTTCCTGAATATTATGAAATTCAAGATGGCCGCCCCTGATAATGTCATAATATGCAAATTAGAGGAGTATATTTACACCCCACATAAACTTTCGGTCATGCCCAACA